TCTTTTATATAACCCTCTGAACAAATAGATTAGCCTTGCCCGACTAGTTGCTGGGACGTTATTTACCCATTTTTTCATGTCAAAGTCCTTTTGGTCGGCCATTTTTTTCTTCTTCCAAACATAAAATTCAGGTCCAGATTCCTCTCTTGACGCTCTTTTACAGCCACTATACGACACGATCTTTTATCTATTGGTTCATTATGTTATGGCTCAGTAGCATTTAAATCTTTAAACATATTTAACATGAAGGTTCGATTGAAAGGTGGTTGGATCCAGAAGGAGAAACAAAAGGATGAAGACGGGTAAAGTTTTATTCCGACTTTTTCCAACTTCAACGCACCCACTTCCTTGTTTTTATCACATGACTAAAACAAACCAATGAGAATTAAAACTAAGACAAAGCAGATTCAACTAAATGTCTTAAATATGTAGTCGTGAATTAAATAAAATATAACTATATGAACTTCTGAATTAACTTAACTTTAGACATGTTTATCCATGTAAAACGGGATCTTTCTAATGTGTCAACAGTCCATTTGTCTCAGTTTAATCTGTTTTAATCCACCGGTTTAAGCCTATAGAAGCCCATTGCGCACCCTCTGGAGCAGTTTAATGACATTATGCGTTTAGAAATGGACACTTCCTCACAGCAGCTGACAGACAGACCATTAACAGCTGCGTTTACGAGCCACGTAAGCCCAGCAGATCATGAAAAAACTGTTCAGGGTATTCTTAGCATCTCTGTGATCTGCAGAGTATGTGAGCGGCATCCTGGTACTAGTGTGTGTGGAGACACGCCGGTGGCTTCCCAGGCTGTAAAAATGCTGTTAATCCCTCACAGGAAAAGGTTTCCCCATCTTTATTCTCAAGTAGAAAGCCAATTATGTGATTATATGAGCAAAAACGAACACGTTTTGTCACTCAACAGTGCACAGACTCGCCCTTCATTTCTAAAAATCAATCAAACGTGCAAGTTTTTTTGGAAAATAGGGGTAGAAAAAAGAGGATCTGGACATTAACTCCACACAGAAAACCCTCAGAGGCTCAAACCCCATCTGTCAGAAACCAATCCAGGAGAAAAACTAACTTTCCAAATAGCCGATTGTCTTTAATTAGGCTTTTAATTCTGATATCATAAAATGTTCATCTACTTCCTCTTTGTTTTTCTATGTTTTAAACCCATTTTTTACCTCCATTTGCCCTCTCTCTGCCTTTGACCGGTCATCTTTAACCCTTTAAAGCCTGATCCAAGAATAAAATAAAACAGAAAATTACTTTTTTTTGGTTTGAATTCCTTATTTGGCCTTTTAACAAAATATGTAAAAAGAAAGAACAAAAATACATTTTTGATATTAACAATTTATTACTATGCGATAAGTCAAGATTATTTTTTGTGTAGTCTTCTGCCCCCTGTTATCAGGTGTATCTGATTGTGTACAATAGGATTTTGAGCAAAGTTTTTACCATTAAATTATGCAAAAAGTGTCGCAAAACATTTCAGAAACCGTATGAATCAAATATGATACATTTGGCATTACAGGGTTAACTTAGAGGAAGACTCCAGTTTCTCCGAAGATTTTTCTTCTTCCTGCAAAGCACAAATAGCTCTTTATTGACTTTTTCGGCTCTGCTAAACAGGCCAGGTGGTGGTGGATGGTTGTTAGAGCTCAGAAACACAAAAACATGAACCTTTGCCTTACATATCTGGGTCAGCCCCCGAAGGAGGCTGTTTTCCTTTTCTTGTTTTTGCGTATTATGTCAACATGCCTCGGTTACCACAGACTAGCCTGTCTGAGATGACTCAGGGAAGATGTTTCCAGTCACGGTTCAGACCCTCCGAGTGTGAAAAACCCCTCACACGCCCAGAAAACAGCCGCTGAGTCACAGCTGCAGACGGGTTTTTTTGCCTTTTAGGATCAACAAAAGGCGGTTGCCTTTTATGTGCAACACTGGTTTAATTCACATGAGCTTTAAAGGGGACATATTACGCAAAACCAAGTTTTTAATCTTTTGATTGTGTACATTTGGGACTGTGGAGGGCCTATCAGCAGGCAAAGTGTGAAAAAAAATGACTCAGTCGTGTTTTTGTGGGCCACCTCAGTCTGAATCCAGGAGATAAATCAGGAGGTTTCAGGAGTGGGTAGTTTCTGACGTCATTAGCTCTAGCTCATTATAATATTATTATTATTATAATATTAATATTATTATATATTATCTAGCTCATTATAATATTCCAGCCTTTCACCTGCATGTTGCCCCCCCCCCTCA